TATTATTTTTTTAACTATAATGAAGGGAAATAGTTGTAGTTTATGTGCTGTCTATTTCACTTATTTTAATAATTATGTTTAAAAATGCATAATATATGAATAATTTTGATTGTTTTATTTTTGTTGAAAAATAATACTTTATACTGTTTATTTTTATGTTAAGGCATATCTGTAAATGATGCAAAACAAACACATAATAAGACTAAATCTATATTATGCACCTCTATTCTTCAACTCTGCATGCATTTTCGTGGGAATCAAATTGTTTCAAAAATGTCCTACTGTGTGACGCGCTGAATCCTATTGGTAGATTGGTTTGGTTAAGTTAAAAGTTTGCGACCCCTGCATCTAATGCAAGTTGGACCTGGTGCATATTAAATCTGTAGAGATCAAAGTTCTCCAGTTGGCGTGGTGTTGTATTTCGGAGAGGGGGATGCCAGCCAAAGTGTCGTCCTCGTCATTTGATAGATGTTATAAATTACGAGGTCCATCACTAACAGCCGTCGTGTTCCTTTTCTGTGTGACATAAACATATATCTCATTCTCTGACCTTCGGTGAAGTGACAAGGACGATACCTGAGTTGGCCTCTCCTTCTCCAAACTTCCACACCATGCAAACGTGAAAACGTGACCCCTAGTCAAGGAGTCTTCAGTTCTTCAGGACTCGAATCCAAAACAGCCAAGAGTTCGTAAGCATGACCCATTGGCTATTGCGGACATAAAATCTGGCAGCGGTGAAATTTTTCTCTCCATTGTACGTACGAAGTTAGATCAAAAAAGTTTCAGGGTTTTATATAAAGAATCTATAATAAATACGCAATGTATGATTATTTTTCTCTTCCCAAAATATAATTCAGGGATTTCCTCTTATCCAAGAAGTGGAATAAATATTTTTAAAAAAAGTGGGGGGGGGGGAGTCTCATAAAAATAAAGTTAGAGCTTTTTTAATCCATAAAAATTCATTTTTCACGATAATCACCTGGAAGTGAAAAGTTTAACTTATTCATCTACTGTCATAAATTATATTTTGTTCGGGGTTGAGGATTCTTTCTTCGGCACGCTTCTGAATATAATTTAGCTCTAATCAGCGTATAAGAGCAGTCCTTGAGATTATAATATTCATAGTGGGTCATTTTTTTCCTTTCCAGAAACGAGCTGAAAAGTTTAAGACCCTTAGGTGGAAACTATGACATTTTCTCAATTATTGTTTATGGTGTTCTATGTAGAAGAGCTTTAAAGTGTTTAAAGGAACCAGGACTCATACACTCTCAAAAAATTGATTTTTCGGTATTAGTATTAAAAATAGCTCCTATTTTTCTGAATCTAAAAATGTATAACACTTATTTATAACCCCAAACTATGAGAAAAGTAATTGACAAAAATGTTTTCACGTTTTCTCCAATGCATAACTTTTTTGCTTTTTGGTAAAATTAAAAAAAAAAAACTATTGTACAATAGGGTTTCAAATTTTTTATACTTCTATACAGAATACATGTACATTTAGTGAACCTTTTTTTTAGTCCAAGTAGTACACAGTTTCTTAAAAAATAACTTAATGTGTAAAAAGAGGGGGGAAATAGTTTCCCCTTTTTTAACATAAGTTAAAAAAGGGGAAACAATTTTAAATTAAGGGGGTTACAAAATTTTTTTTAAGGAAATTATCTTAATATTTTGCTAAAAAATAGGTTCAATACATTTTGTATATTGTTTTATATGTGTGCAAAAAGAATTTTACATATTTAAGAGATACATTTTAAGAAAATGGTACCTAAACACATAAACATGTATAGTGAGATCTCAAAATTTATGTCCAACTCAAATTAAACAGATTTTTTTTTAATAAAATTACAAAATTATTTTTGTATTTCCAAGAATGATTATAATATCTTAATTAGGTTAACAAAAAAAATCTAAACTGCATTGGAGATTTTTAATGATATATTTATATCCCATAAACAAAGACTCTTGACATTTTATACTTCCCAACACGTCCTGGTACCCTTAAGTTAAGAGCATGAAACATTATTTTCACTTTTTTGAAATTTAGAATAGTTTACTTCAAGTTAGGGAAAAAAAATTGTATGAAACTCGTTTCAAAATAAATAAAAATGTTCGATGAATGATTTTGTATAATGGTTCCTCACACAAAAATTTACAATAAAACAAAAGGATTTTACTAAATATAAAATAATTATAAATAAGCACCAACATTAACGTATAATCTACTTCCAGACGAAATCGGCTCTTGCACCATTACCATACATTCATTCATTCACTCAAAAAAAATTTCGTTCTTAATTTGTTCATGTTTTATATTTTCCCTTGTGTGTATTAATAATTCCCTAAAATTTTTAAATTTATTTTAATTTTATTTAACAATATGAACGATAAGGCGTTACAAAATTCAATGAACTTAAATATAAATGAACTAACAAAAATATTTCAATGATTTATTTTTATTTAAGGTGATACCGTTTGGAACTGTAATTTTGAAAAGTGCATTAATGAATCTTTTTTTTAAAAATTTCTACTATTAGCTCTCTCTTTCTCCCTTATATATATATATATATATACTACCCGTTACCCGCCCGCTTCGCTGGGTATTACATGATGTTTTATAAATTTTTACTGCTTATATATATGTATAAATTATTGATATCTAAGTCTTAGCACATTAAGAATTCGATTATATTGAAAAATATACTTATACCTGTAACTGTCGCCTGTTGATCAAAAAAAAAAAAAAAAGGGCAGAACTCATCTAATTTGAATTTTCTAAAAATCTTTAAAATTGAAGTATAGAATGATGTTTGCTCGTTCGTAACCCAAAAACCAAGTGGATTCCCACAAAACCAATTTTCGGTGGATCTCTTCTCCGTAAATTGAACATGCAAGCCAAATTTCAAGTCTAAATCTAACAGAAAAAAACAAAAGTTTTACTATCAATATCCCCGTAATCCCGTTGAGAGCCGTTTTCCAAAATAACCGCTCTTAGCGGATTTCAATTCAACAAAAGAAAATTATAGTCCTTGTAGCTCGAAAAAAGTAATTTTTTTTGTCAATACGTCCCAGTAACCCCCTGCACCCCCCCCAGAACTTGATTTGCTTAAAATACATTCTTAGTGGATCCCTATTCAACAAAAGAAACATGCTTAACAAATTTCAAGTATATGGGTCTAACAATTAAAAACAGGAATTTTTTTCTGTAACTCCTCTTGACCCCTCGCAAACATCCTTAGGGGTCAATTTTCGTTTTACTCTTTGTTAGAGGAACTCTATTCCATGAAAGGAACATGCCTACCAATTTTCAAGCAGGAGGATCAAATAGTTTAAAAATGGAAATATTTATCGATTACACCTCTTAATCTCCCGAAATTAAACTTAGTAGTTTATATTCACGAAACCCATTTTGTAGCGGTTCTCTACTTTACGAAAGGAATCTGCTTATCAAATTTCAAGACTGTACGTCTAACAGTTTAAAAATGAGGATAATTATCTATAACGCCACTTGAGCCCCCGCAACGCCGCTTCGGGGTCTGTTTTCACAAAACCCATTTTGAAGGGGAATTGCACTATATGAAAGGAATCTGCTTAGGAAAATTTAAAGACTGTGCGTCCAATAAATTAAAAATGCAAAAACAATTATCTATAACGCCACTTGAGCCCCCGCAACGCCACTTCGGGGTCGATTTTCACAAAACTCATTTTGTAGTGTATCTCTATCCTATGAGAGGAATCTTCTTACCAAGTTTCAAGACTGTGAGTCTAATAACTTAAAAATCGGAATTTATAACGCCCCTTAAACCCCCCGCCCCCGCAACACCCCTTGGGGGTCAATTTTCTTCAAATCCGTTTTGTAGCGGATATTTATTCCATGAAAGAAAGATTCCTACCAATTTTCAAGGAGGTAGGTCAAGTAGTTTAAAAACGAATATATTTATGTATTACGCCACTTAACCCCCCGCAACGCCACTTAGAGGTCTGTTTTCACAAAACCTTCTTATAGCTGATCTCTACTCTATGAAAGAAATCTATTTATCAAATATAAAGACTGTGCGTCTAATAGTTTAAAAATGGAAATAGTTATCTATAACGCCTCTTAAGTCCCGCAACGCCACTTGGGGGCATTTTCACGAAACCCATTTTGTAGCGTATCTCTACCCTATGAGAGGAGTCTGCTTGCTAAGTTTCAAGACTGTACGTCTAATAACTTTAAAATCAGAATTTATAAGGCCCCCGGCCCCGCAACACCCCTTGGGAGTCAATTTTACCCAAACCCGTTTTGTAGCGGATATTTACTCCATGAAAGAAACATTCCTACCAATTTTCAAGCAGGTATGTCAAGTAGTTTAAAAACGGATATATTTATCTATTACGCCCCTTAATTCCCCGCAACGCCACTTAGAAGTCTGTTTTCACAAAACCCGTTTTGTAACTGATCATTATTCTACAAAAGGAATCTATTTATCAAATATAAAGACAGTGCGTCAAATAGTGTAAAAATGGAAATAGTTATCTATAACGCCCCCTAAGCCCCTGCAACGCCCCTTGGGGGTCAATTTTCACCAAACTCATTTATTAGCGGATCTCTACTCTCAGAAAGGAATCTGCTTACCCAATTTCAAAATTGTACATTGAGTAGTTTAAACATGGAAACAATTATTTATAACGCCCCTTAACCCCCAGTAACGCCCCTTGCGTTTCGAATTTCGGAAAATCCGTTCTTAGCTGATGTCTACTCTATGAAAGGAACATGTCTACCGAATTTCAAGTCTGTAGGTTGAATAGTTCCAGAGATATCGTGATTAGTCAGTCAGTCAGTGAGTCGCTTTTCTCCTTTATATATAGATAGATAGTGTTCAAATTTTCAATCGTGAATAAAATACTACCTATTCATCCATTCAAGCTTAAACACATTTTTTAACTTGCAGTGGATGACACTTGATGTTAATACAGTTTTTCAAACATTAATTAAATAGAAAAATTAATATCGTTCTCGTGCCCTTGTAGCGCAATGAAAGCGCATTGAACTTCTAATGCAAAAGTCGTGGTTTCGAACTCCACGTGGGATTGCCTATTTTCTGAGAATGTGGTTTCCTTTTTACCACACTATTTTTATAAGAAGAATTAAATTTAATTAATGAATAAACAGTAACAAACAAAAAATAGTCTAACACCCTACATAGAAAAGAAAATCGCTTTCTATTTTGTCACTGAAAATTGTGATTATGTCATTTGTATATACATATTTATATTAATCGTAAATATTTAATAAACAGTAACTAAAATAAAAATTTTCTTCGTTGACCTAAGTAGGAATTGATTTTTAAATTTTCTTTTATATTACTTGTTTATATTTAGTGTTACCCGAATTAGTATTTTCATATAAAATTGTCTGAAGAATATTCAATCAAAAAAGAAATATTTAAATGCAAATTGTTTTTAGTAAAAGAATGAAGAGAAAGAATAACATTTTCAATGCATTCTCCTTTCATGAAAAGTGCCCTATAATAATAATTTCCCTATATTTAGATAGGAGTTCTACGCCGCAATTGAACTCTAATTTTTGAAAAATTCACCTGATTTTTAGATTTATCATTCACTGAAATAACATATAACGGGTGTTTTTCGTTAAAATTTCTCTACTATATATAAAAACACAAGAATAAATCAACTTCTAAATAAAATATTTCAAAAATTTTAGTTCATCACCTGGTGAGTAAGGAAGTGAGTGAATATTAACGTCTCACTCTATTCAACTACATGAAAGGCCGTGGTAGCATAGTGGTCAAGGTATCGGATCGTGGTTGTCATGTCACCAGTTCGATCCTAATACCACCGCCGTGTAGGGGAGCGATGCACGTTAAATATGTCAAGAGCTCAAACGTCCTCCTGTGGATGTGGTGTGGTAGTTAGGAGAAGGGGATGCCAGCTCTGGCATCGTCTTCGGCACTTGACCATGGTTCAAAATGACGAGGTCCGTCGCCAAAAGACCTCGAGTAGCTGAACAGTGCGACGTTAATATTCACTCATTCACTCACCCAATAACACAGGAACTTTCTCAGACATTTCATTTAATGTCTGGTGTTTTTTGCATATTGTTCTTTCCCAAATAGAAAATAATTTAGTGTTAAGTGATTTTCGTTTTGTGCTAGGAGAAACAAAAATGCATGAGAAAACACGTAGCAGTTTGTCGGGACCGTTTTATTATATTTCGTGTTAACCGATATAGTAAAAATTTGGAGATATTATTTATATCTCCAAAGTAGTTTTGACATTTATTTGTGTAATATGTACACAAAAACAGATACAAGATTGCATTTTCTATACACTAAAGATTAAAAGCGTTACTAGGATACCTTAGAAAATGAATGGTACCCAGAAAAAAAATTTATTTCTATTTTAATCTCTTTCTGAACATAAGTATACCCGATTTATGTAAACATTTTTCTCGAATATTATTCTTTCCTAATATTGGAAAAACATGGAAAAGATATACGAACTGACGAATTCAACATTTCAAGGCAGATTTGCTCGGTTAGAGACTCATAGAAAAAAATATTAAGAAGTATTTAGAAAAGAGAGGAGAGAAAAATTCCGCAGACTAATGGAATTTTTTAAACCCATGTTTACTTAAGAAAACAATATTTCACGGCGGTAAAATATACGCCTTCGAATTCGACAGTAAGAAATTTTATCACAAGAAAAACAAGAATGCATTGCTTTTATCTTTCAGCAGTTTACAAGTTTCTTAAGCCACAAAAATCAAAAGCTTAAGATCTAGCTACAAAATCGCATAGTGGCTGGCCACGGTAGCCAAGTGGTCAAGGTATCGGTTCATGGCAGGCATGTCATAAGTTCAAGCCCAGTACCAATGCAAACCCGCCGTGTAGGGGAGCGATGCACGTTAAATCTGTCGAGAGCTCAAACGTCCTCCTGTGGTGTGGTAGTTAGAAGGTGATGCCAGCTCAGGTGTCGTCCACGTCACTTGACCATGGTTCAAAATTACGAGGTCCATCTCCGAAAGCCCTCGTGTAACTGAACATTGTGACGTTAATATTCACTCACTCACCCAAAACCGCATACAGATACTATTTTGAAAGACTTTAAAACCACGGTAGTTTAGCGGTCAAGGTCACAGACTTGTGACTGGCGAGTCATGAGTTCGAGCTGATATCGCTGAAGACCCGCCGTGCAGATGGATATTCACTTACTCACTCACGCTACTGAAGATCTACCTTATGGAGGGGCTGATGGTCGTTAAATCTGTAAGGGCTCCAGTCCTCCTGTTGGCGTGGTGGGGCAGTTTGGAGAAGGGGTGGTTCCAGTTCAGATGTTGAGTGAGTAAGTAAATACTAGCGTCGCACTGTTTAGCTACACGAGGGCTTTTGGCGACAGTCCTCGTCATTTAGAACCATTGTCAAGTGACGAGGACGACACCTGAGCTGGCACCCCTTTCTCCTAACTACCACACCACAGGAGGTCGTTTGAGCTCTCGACAGATTTAACGTGCATCGCTCACCTATACGGCGTATCTTTAGTGGTACTGGGCTAGAACTCATGGCATGCCAGCCATGATCCGATACCTTGACCACTAGGCTACCGTGGTCCCAGTCCTCTTCACTAGATCAAAGATTAGAATTACGAAGTTCGTCGCGAAGACCACTCGTGTTGCTTAATATAGAATGATATATATTAAAATAAAATAAAATCTGGATTAGAACTCAGTATTTTTTGTTTTTTTAGAGCTGGATTATCAACTAATCCTTGGATATTCATTAAAATTTGATTCCATATGAGGGAATACCATCTAGTAGTTGAGAAAGAAGCCATGGAAATGTCTTCAGATGTTTACTGGAGATAATAATTAAGATTAAAGCGGACAATATTATTATTCAGCTCTTTTTCGAAATTAGCAGCGAGTGAGAGTTCTATTGATGTCGCACTATGAAGCAACATGAGGACGAGAAGGAAAGGACAATTGCTATTTTTGTGGAATAGGGAGCAATAAAGGCTAGAAAAGGATGTCAGGAGATCGAGCCCAGTACCATTGAATACCCATCGTGTAGGGAAGCGATGTATGTTAAATCTGTAGAGAGCTCAAATGTCCTCCCGCTGGTGCGGTGTGGTGCGGTAGTTAGTTATCCTCGTCACCTGACCATAGTACAAAATCACGAGGTTCGTCGCCAGAAGTCCTCGAGAAGCTAAAACAGTGAGATGATAATATTCACTCACTCACTCGATCACACCCGAGTAAAAGAACATCCTAATTTTGATCCACAGTCAAGTGACAAAGACGACACCTGAGCCAGCACCACACCTTTCAGTCCATCACACCACACCATCGTAAGGACTTTGAGCCATGATAGATTTAATGCGCATCAGAACTACTACATGGAGAGTCTTCAGTGTCACTGGGGCTCGCACTCATGTCACACCGGCATCGTGTATGGGACCATAACCACTGGGCCACCGAAATGATGTGTCATGGCCGGTATTATTTCCATCAAGTCAAGGGTTCGAATCTTGATGTCGCTGATGTACATTAACTTTATCGAAGTTCGAATTCCTCGCACTGAAAGCATTGAAGAGTGAGGTGATGGCCGCGGTGACCTCGTGTTCAAGGTAACGAACTCGTGTGTCCAACTTATCATGATTTTGAACCTATTACCGCTGAAGACCCACCGAGCTAAGGGGACCGATGCACGTTTAATCTGTCGAGACTCAAGCGTCCTTCCGTTGGTGTGGTGTGGAAGTTATGATTCAAGTGACGAGGACGACACCTGAGCTGGCACCACTCCCTCTCCTAACTTCCACACCACACCAACGGGAGGACGTTTGAGCATCCACAAATTTAACGTGCATTGTTCCCCACACAGCGTATCTTCGGCGATACTTGGTTCGAACTTATGACACGCCGGCCACGAGTTCATTACCTTGACCACTAGGTCACCGTGATTACCAGGAATTTAAAAGGAATGGGAGAGAATCAGAAAATGTTACAAGCCGCAGCATTTGAAAACTTCATATTGTTGAGAAATTTGTTTCCCCAGAGTGGAGACAAATGACACTACTTGTGATACAGCTGGTTTGTGGGTAGGTAGTGAAAGTTCCCAGATGGTCCAGGACGATTGAAATGGCAAGACGCTTAGGAAATTGGTCTCGTTTGGAAGTGCTAGCCATGATTCGATTTTTATGGGCACAGAATGTATCCGCATCTGACATTCACAGTCAAATCGTGGAAGTTTACGGTGAAGAAGCATTTAGCAGACAACATGTAGCGAAATGGTGTCACTCTTTTCAATCAGGCAGATAGGATGTCGAAAACCGTAATATGGCAAGGGGCGGTCGGCCAAATTCTTCAAGACACAAATTAAAAAAATTATTCAAAATGATCGACGCGTAACTCTGAGTGAAATTGCAGTCTATGGTAGCGTGCAGCATATCGTTTCTGATGTGCTGCGACAGAGCTGTGAAAACATCCGCCGAGACTTGGCTCAATGGACAGGGATCCGATTTCTAGCAAAACGGGTTAGGCAAGTTGGTTCTGTGTTCTGTAAAACGCCTAAATAGACTTGGTGATTATGTCGAAATGTGATAGACATGCATACCCCTTAACTCCCTTTTGTATCTTCTGTCTATTGTTAATAAATATTTCTTTATTCGACTTGTAACTTTTTTTTTCTGATCGTCCCTCGTATAATAGCCTTTGCACATCAATCAATCAATAGACGGACGAAATCATTCCCACATTTCATCATACTCCATAATATGTGGCAATAACTTTAGAAACTTTTCGCTCTGTTTGGAAAATCCATTTTTATAATTGTTTTATTATATTGTTTACTGTTTAGAGGCAAAAGACTTGGAATTCGTCAGCTCGAAGAGTGTCATTCTATATTTTTTAGCGTATCTCAAGGCGTTATCAGGTAGGTGCTTTTCACATTTTTCTAAAGTATGTATGTATTCGTACACCTCAAGTTTAGTGCGTGTCTTCAATTTGAATGCGATTAAGCAACAAACAAGTTGGATGTGCTTTAGAAATCTGTTAATGCTGTGTCTAAAATACTGT